GGATACAGGGTGCCGTGCCTCAAATGGACAAACTGCTTTGATTTTTTTGCACCGATTATTCTAGGTAGAGTCGGTTCAGGCCTTTTTTTGTCTAAGTGCTCTAATTACCGGATTGGGTCTGAGGTTAGAGGCAAAAGAGATCATCACATGTTGGCAGATACATGGTAAGCTCGGAACTTTTCTCTGATATCTTGTAGTTGTGTTAAATACATTCATTTTCGGTAAACTATTATCAAAATTTCATGTTGGTCACTATTAGTTTGACTATCGGAAAAGATCACATGGCAGTTTAGTTATTAACTATTAGACTCATCTCATTTTGCTAGTAACATTAGTGGACGTGGATGAGATGAGTAAACTGTAACTGATGTTTAAGCATAGCGATCAATTCAAATCAAAGATCAGGGACGAACTTGAATGATCAACATGAAATTTTGCTAAAAGTTAGCAACGGCCGGTGTTCTTAATCCTTCTGTAGTTGCCTAATGCAATAGCTATATTAAGGATGTTTACGATATCAATTTATCGTATAGAAAATTGACTTATGTAATGTTCCAATTTGATTTAACAGGTTCTCAAGAAGCAAGATGTCAGATCAAAACCAGATCCTTTTTGGAAAAGATAGTCACAAATGTACATTGGTTGTGCCTGGACCATATAGAACTAGAGTATCTTATAAAGCAAAGTACCATTATTGATTTATTCGAACGGCATGAACTATTTTTATCATTTTTTTCCCTTTTTTGAGACTAAATTTTGATGTATGGAGGACTAAAATTTCTATTTGAACCATCTAACTTTCGTTGTGTTCTAAGAATATCGGATTTGTTTCGACATGAAGTTTAAAATTGTTTGTTAGGTACAGTGTTAGACTATTATATCTAAAACTTTACGAGGGAAATATAACTGAAATGTTTGAGGAGTCTCAATGCAAATTAAATGTATTTAACTAAGGAAAAATACATAGTTAATTAGAGTATCTTCAAGAGACTCTTTAAACATAAAATACTTTCTATTTTAAATAGTCAACCTTTAAAATCATGTTTCAAGAGATTCTTTAAATTAATTATTTATATAAAAGTTGTAATTAATTCCATCTTGTGTTGATGCGCGATGGGTTGATTTCGAGTAGGAATTTGAAGCCAAAGAGTCATAAATTGAGATGGAAAGTATTTCTAGGTTTTCCTTGGTGTGAAAAATGCAAACACGTGAATTGGAGGAATATTAGGTTAAACTAGTAGATAGAAAATATTTGATAGAAGTAGTACATAGAAATTTCTTTGTTCGTCTAACCCTCAATAAATCAACCTCCAACAAATCTAGTATGAGGAATTACAATTAATCAATTAGACAATGAGAAAGTGCTACGAATTTTACAACTTTGAAAAAAAGTGTATAGTTAAAACCAACAATACGACAACTCTACATATCGAAGAATTTGCAACCTTGTTTATCCATAAAAAAGTAAGAATTAGAGGCTTAGTAGATAAGAAAGATGGGTTTGAATGCAACAACACCATTGCACGAGTAATCCAACTTAATCTTGATTTCTCTATGTATTAGTGATTAAGAGATTAGTATTTTAATGTCTCTCTGTTTCTTCCTTTTCAGGAGCTTAGAAAGCTCTCTTTAGAAAATCGACACTTGTTAGTTTTTTAGGCATTGGTTTTGGGTAAAACTAAAAACACTCGAAACTGTTGGAATGTAATTTTGATCGAATTTCTCAACCTGCCAAATTGGTTTTGGGTAAAACTAAAAAGAAGGTTTCAAGAATGTTCGTTGGGTACAACATTAGACTGTTATATCTAAAACTTTGCAAGGGAATTATAACCAAAATATTTGAGGAGTCTAAACGTAAATTACATGTATTTCGATAAGGAAAAATACCTAATTAATTCGACTTGGATTTCCAATCATTTTGTTGTTCGCGCGTGCTGTGTCTTGCATGTGTTCTTGTAATTATATTGAGAACATTTTTAAAATGATGCAGATATTGTAGTGCACTCATAATGTTTAGTGTTGGATAAGACTTTTAGATCGAACCGAACGAGTTTGGTCAAGTCTTCTCAGGTTAAACATTTGAACAGGTACTAGAATTGAGAATCAACTGGTTTGATTCGATTCTAGACCAAAAACCAAATAAGAATAGAATATAACTAATTTTTTTTAAAAAAATTAAATTGATTAAATAAAATTATTTTAATTTTTAAATGAATTTGCTTATTAACTAATTAAATGATTAATCGTAAGTGTCCAAGTCTCTAATTCCCAAGGGCCAAGTCCAACTTGAGCCCGAAATATTTTCTTCCAACAAATTTATGTCAAAACTCAACTTCACTTCACAATTTACCTAACAGTCTCATTTTGACATTTAAGTTTAGTTGTTGTTCTCGTTACTTCATCTTTTCTCCTCAAGATTCACACGGACCACACCATCAAATCCCATATTCGTAAGCATTTCTACATCCTTCTTCATTCGTAAGTAAATGAAACAATATGATGGAATTATCGATGTTTTAACGTTATTATTTACTTTTTGGTAATTTGTATATATGGTTGAATGGATTTTATTACAGAACTTGTTATTTGTATATTTTTATATTAGACTATGTTATTTTATAATTGTTAAGATTGAACATATCATTGATTGGATTAATACAGTATTGTTGTAAATATTAAAAAATTTAATTATGACGATTCGACTACCTAAATGCCCAAAAATTTGAGTTCAATTAGGTTCTCTTTAGAATCGAATCGAATCGAACCATGTCCAAAACTAATAGTGGAGGTCCAAACCAACTGATGTTGAAGAATCAGAGGATGAGTTGTGGTTATGGGTGAAATGCCACTCGAACCCAGAACTAGTTTGTTCTCCCCAAAATGCATTGAGGAGCAGCAGTTGACTGGACATTTAGGGGGAAAGCACTGTTTCGGTGTTGTATTTTTATAGAAGTAAAAATACCAACTACTTTGGAGAGAAAAGTAGATTTGTAGATTAATTTGTTTAAACAATATATATTGAATATGGTAATGTATGGAACGAATATTTAATTCATTTAATCATAACTATATTTTTATAAAAGTATATACTTCTTTAAAAATGGCAGATTCAATAATTCTATTTTTAAAAAAAAAAAAAAATTAATGGATTAACGAAATATTAAATTCATTTAATTACAATTATGCACATATCTTCAGGACATTTTCGACATTTTCATTAACACGTTATTTGTCCCCCAATATAATACACATTGGACAAAAGCAAAAAATAAGTGATATTTGGATAAAAGCTATATTAAATACAATGTTTTTGTAAGTAAGAGATATTTTCATAAATTGGCAAATAATCAATTAATATATTTTTTCCTGATCATAAAGTATTTAATTTATCGAATTTAATTAAAAATAATGCTTCTACTTTCTTTTGTATCAAATAGAAAACCTCAAAATCTCATATTTGGTCCAGTGGCTGTGGCAACAATGGGATTTGCCTCAAAATTGCCAACTTTGGAGGACTTCTACAGCAAATAGGAGATAAAGTTGTAATTAGCTTCATCTTGCGTTGATGCCGTGATTAGTTGATTTAGAGGTGAAATTAGAAGCCCAAGAGTCATTAATTGAGATCGAAAGTACTTCCAAGGTTTTCCTTGTCACAAATACTAAGATGGGAATAGGAAGAATATTAGGTCAAACTAATAGACAGAAAATATGTGACAGAAGTAGAACGTAGAAATTTTTTTGTTCGTATGACCCTCAATCAATCAACCTCTAGCAAATCTAGTACGTGGAATTTTCAATTAATCAATTAGACAATAAAAAAGTGCTACGAATTTTACAAATTTAAGGAAAAGTCTATAGTTAAAAATGAACCACCAGCACTACAACTCCACTTAGTGTTATAAATTGAAGATTTAATTTGCAACCTTGTTTATCCACACAACGGGTTGAATGCTGCAACACCACTGCGCAATAAGATCGATATCTTATTGTTTTTCTATTTCTACCCTGTCAAGAGCTTCGAAATCTTTCAGGGGATGGGATCACTTACTAGGATGGATTGAGATTGAAGGTATGCAGAGCTGGCCTCAAGAATTTGAGGTCTTAAACGACTAATTATTATGAGTTTATTCACCATAGCACACAACATTGATAGAAACACGAGTACATAAGTTCTAATATAGAATCAATAAATAATATCAAACTAACTTTCTACCACTCGTTGCATTTTTTATTTCCATTTAGTAGACAAATGGGGTCCAGAGGACCAAATTATTTTCTTAATTTTAAAACACCAGAAATGAATTTAATCATCACCTCGAAGGGCCTGCTTCGGAGTTTTATTTTACTGATTTCGCCCATTTTTTGGTGGCAGTAAGAGGTTGAAAAATTGGTACTTAATAATTTTTTAAGCATTGGTTTTGGGTTGTTTAGAAATTATCCGAAATTGGTGTA